AGCTGCTCTGTGGGAGACAGACAGACTTTCTACTCCTGTAAAGAGTTAGTTTGGAAACTCATAGGGACAGTTCTACCCTGTCTTATAGGGTCTCTGTGAGTCAGAATTGACTCCGTAGCACTAAGTTTAAAAAGGAAAATGCCTTTTAAAAATCTGTTCCATTGGCAACTTAAAAAAAAATTTATCTACGTCACATTTTTGCATGCACAACTGTCTGAAGATATGCTTTAATATCACTTGGAAAGAGAATATTTCTAAAATTTAAAAAGCAACTGAAATTGAATGGGGAAGAGATAGGTAAAAGTTTCTTATTATTAGAAACTGTAAATACCTACATTTTTGCCAAGGACTGCCAAAGAACCAAGGGTTTAATGTAATTTTGCTTTTTGAGGAAGGAACAATGTATTTCTCAGCTTGTAATCATATTAGGTTCTAAAGCAGCCGTTCTCAACCTGTGGGTCATGACCCATTTGAGAGGTCAAATGACCCTTTCACAGGGGTCACCCGATCCATAACAGTAGCAAAATGACAGTTATGAAGTAGCAGCAAAAATAATTTTATGGTTGGGGGGGGGGGGTCACCACAACATGAGGAATTGTGGCATTAGGAAGGTTGAGAACCACTGTTCTAAAGATTTGAAAGTTCAAGTCCAAAATGAGTTTAAGCTGGCAGTCTACAAATGCTCCACCAGAAACGGGTGTGAATTAGCATGAGAACTACACATTCAACTCCCCTTCCTGTTTGTTACGTGCTCTTTCAGTCACATTGTTCTAGCGTAGATAAATTCGCCCATACAGGAACTCTGCACTACTTAGTAACAACATAGCAGCTCTGGAAGCTTATGCACACACCACATCAGTACTTGTACTTCAGTCAGGCCTTTAACCTGAAGCCCTGTCTCTGGTGCCCCAAAAGTTTCATTATAGCTCATGCCATGATTATTTAAGCTCTCATGCCATTTGTCTTCATCTGAATTAACTTCAGGCTCAAGGTATTCGATATGTTGTTAGGGGCCATGGAGTCGGGTCCAGCCCTATGCACAATATAGTGAAAGACTGCATAGTCCCGCACCATCCTTACAGTTGTGCCTTGCCCGAGCCCATGGTTGCAGTCACTGTGTCAGTCCATCTCATTGAGGGTCTTCCTCTTTTTTGCTGCCCCTCCACTTACCAGGTATGACGTCCTTCTCCAAGGACTAGTCTTTCCTGACATTTCCAAAGTACTTCAGACAAAGTATCACCCTCCTTGCCTCTACGAGACAACACTCTAATTCTTCCAGAGCAGATTTGTTTATCCTTTTAGCAGTCTATGGTATTTTCAATATTAATCTCCAGCACCAAAATTCAAATGCATCAATTCTTCTTAGGTCTTCCTTATTCGGTGCCTAACTTTCACATGCATGTGAAATACCATGAGTTGGGTCAGGTGCACTTTGGTCGTCAAAGTAACTGCTTTGCTTTTCAGTTCTTTAAAGAGGTCTTGTATAGCAGATTTACCTAATGCAGCGTGCTTTGATCTCTTGACTGTGCTTCCATGAGCATTGTGGATCCAAGCAAGAGGAAATCCTTGACAACCTCAGCCTTTTCTCCATTTATCATAAGTTAGTTATTGTCCAGTTGTGAGAATTTTGGTCTTGTTTGCATTAAATTGTAATCCACACTGAAGACTGTAATCCTTCTTTAACAAGTGCTTCAAATCCTCACTTTGGCCAAGCAAGGTTGTGTCATCTGCATATCATTGGTTGTTAATCAGCTTTCCTCCATTCCTGGTGCTACGTCATTCTTCATATAAACCAGCTTTTCTGATTTCCTCAGCATATAGATTGAGCAATTATCCTGAGAGGATGCAACCCTGACACACCTTTCCTGATTTTAAAACAGGCACTTTTTGTTCTGCTCTATTCACACAAATGCCTCTTAATCCATGTACAAGTTCCACATTAGCACAATAAAGTGTTCTTAAGTTCCCATTCTTCTCAAGGCTATCCATACCTTATCATTTCCCACACAGTCTAATGCCTTGGTATAGTCAATATAATACCAGTAAACATCTTTGTGGTATTCTCTGCTCTGAGCAAAGACCATCTGATATCATTAATATCCCTTGCATTAGATGTAGTTGCTGATTATCCAGGCTCAATGAAGTTTTTACATTTTGTAAAACTCTTTTTTCCTCATTTCTTACTGTGCATTACAGTGGCATGGCCCTTTTCTTGTGTGGTATAACATTCTTGGTCCTTCACATACAATCCTACTGTTGAACAATTGATCTCAGGATCACATGCAACATTTTATATTTTCAATAGAAGTTTCTTGTTTCTGTTTGCATTTCCAGCACAGTCTGGTTAGATATTTGAAAATTATTTTTTAGCCAACGTAGATTGTTCGCTTCTGGTGTAACCCATTCCAAAACATACTTTCACAGCTCTCATCCTGTTTATTTTAGGTAATGGCATGATATTTATTGACTTTGACATTATTTTTCTTTTAGGGAGTTACTATTGTTAAACCAATAGTTTATGGGAATGTTGCTCGATACTTTGGAAAGAAAAGAGAGGAAGATGGACATACTCATCAGTGGACAGTATATGTAAAACCATATAGGAATGAGGTAGGCTTTTTCTTGTAACTTTTCAAAGCTGCAATTTGTTTGACTTAAGAAAGAGTACAACATTCTTTTACGGTAACTTTCGGATCATCAAATTAGTCTAGTATAGAAATCTTGCCCCCCCCCCCAAATGGAATGAATTAAAGCCTGAATTTCACTAATGTTTTTCTTGGCTATAATATAAATCTATATATGGGTACATGGAGACTTATAGCTTAAGTGACACATTTTTACTATAAATGATGATGCCATGAAAGTTATTTAAGTATTAGAACAATTGGGAATTATTAAGATAGAAAATTAAATTCTATTTATGCCTATACCAGGATAAATTGCAAATGATCAAATATTTAAGTGAAAGAAATAAAATTAATGGAAGAAACCCTAGAGTTTTTTAAATGTCTGATTGGAAGCACCCCTTTGTTTCAACACAAAACGTAGAAGCCAGAAAAGAAAAGGTAAATTTGACGTCATACAAATAAAAATTTTTCTACCTCAAATCCGGCTAGACCGGAGCATGTACACTGGTACAGATAAGAGCTCTCAATACACGGAATCCAGGACAGATAAATCCCTCAGGAACAGTAATGGGAGTAGCGATATCATGAGGGTAGGGGAAGATGAGGGAAGAAGGGAGAGAAATGGGGAACCGACTACAGTGATTGACCTATTAACACACACACCCTCCCCACCCAGGGGACGAACACAGAAAC